CAGGTCACCATTAGCAGCAGCAGGGTGGAAAGGCAGTCACTGATGACAGACTTTGCATATCAAACATTGCCAGGCACATACCCAGGGAGGACAAGGCTGTCATGTTCAGCACCACAAGCTGCCTCAGAAGGTAAATCAGCATTGGTTAATATAGTTAAAGGCCTGCTATTCATCAACCCAGGCTCTGGGCTCCTGCTGAATATCAGCTGAAGTTTGCTCAGTGGTTAGAGTGAGAGTCAGCAGTTCCTCACTGAGCTCATTAATGCAGAGCTCAGGAAGGAGTGCAAACCCATCATTTCCTAATGCAGACAGCCACGCTACAGCCAGGCTGCATCCTGAGGAACCCTGGGAGAGAAGCAAATTTTCTGTATCCCCTGGCTGGTATTTATTTCTTTCTCCTCAAAATACACCAACTGAGTTCTGACACATTCAGGTACCATCCCAACTCAAACACCATTTCTAACAAAATATATCTTGATAGCCATTTGAAATTAGCAGTTAAACGTAATCAAACAAAATATAAAAAATACTTTTTCTTGTAGTCTCAGCCTGAGCCTGTGGAGATGTTGTGGATAATTAGCAGTTCACACAATCTCTTCCCCATCCCATCTGGGACATGATATAAGCCAGCCTGGCTCAAACTGTCACAACTTCAAAGAAAGCAAGTTTTCCCAAATGTGATAAACGTTGCTTTTTTCTACATCGTATCAAGATCTATAGCCTGTCTTTTAAATGCTTGCCCTCCTCTTCAGGGTATCGGCACTTCAAAGATGGGGGGGGGAGGGAATCAACATTTATAACACTCCCAAATTCTCATGAGTCTTTGACATGAGCTTTATATTTCATGGTACTAAGGTATTATTGAAATAAATGGTTTTCTCTGCAGAAATGCAACATATAAATAAATAAATGGTCATGGATTATGCAAGTAGAATCAAAAGTTTTAGGCAAGCTCTCATAATACGAGAAGAAAATGAAAAATTTGGATACAGTGGACAGAACAGTTAGCAACTATGAAAGTTATCCTAATATGTAACTCACTTCTGTCTGAAAGACAGTTTCATTGAATATCCCCTATGCTCAAAGTCTCTAATTGCAATAATTTGCCAAAACCTTCCGTAATATACATTATCTCTGAAAATATTTTACTTGAATAATAGAACTATTGCATTTATAGAAAGTATTTTAGTTTCATATTCAAAAATCCTTTTGAATACTATGTAAAAATAATTGTAACAAGACTTCTTAAAGGCATTGAAAAATTAAAAAGCACAAAGTCAACCAGCTAAGAAAAAACCCTACTGCAATCCAAACATGTTTTTAAATGGACAATCTGGGCCACACCTAGAGAAATAGGATTTTCTCTGTTCTGTATTTTCTTCAAGAAAAAGACTCAAATAGATTGTCTTTGACAGAAAAGAACTATCACACAATAGTAGGAAGTCATAGATCACTGAAAGCAAACAGGCTACACAAGAGATTCCCTCCTCACTGGTGTAACATCTTTTAAAGCAAGAGGAGCTTTCTTTGGTTTAGTATAAACTTCCAAGTGACAAACTCAGAGCTGCCTGTATTCCAGAGTAAAAGTCCCTGCAGAGAGTTACACCTGTGTCTGCCTTAATTCATCCTCAGCCTCGCTCCACTGTGATCTGCTGAACCAACTCTCCCAATACATTGTCTCACCACAATCAGGCTCTTTGTAAGGCTTCTTGACACTAAATATATACAGAATGAGATTGCCAAAGGTTTAAATCCAGCAACCTGCACCTACTGGTGCATTTGTAGAATTTAGTAAAAATAATATTAAAATCTCTTTTATCTTTAGTAAAGATAAAGAACTTCCAAGAACTTCTGAAGTCAGTCTTTTATAACACCATTTCAAGAAAAACACCATTTTCCACGACAAATGGTGTCACATACGTTCTACTCCCTTTCAACAGAAGTAAAACAGGGAGAACAGAACTGTCAGATGAAAGCTTAATGAAAAGACTCTTGACATGCCATTGGTTAATTATTGATTAACTTATGGAAATAATTTAAAAATCAGAAGGGATTTTTTTTTACATGAGTATTTTGAAATTACAGAAGTTGGTTTCAGAGAGGTCTTTTATTCATACTCGTTTTCTAAGAAAAAGGATTTGAAATCAAGACTCAAACAGTTTGCTTCTGCATTTCTTAAGCACAGTCCCACACGACTAACAAGGCTGAATGTTTATGATTTCTTACCACGCATTCATGGTAAATATGTTTAGTCAATGAGCAGAGTGCTGCACAGACTGCAGCGGCAGGGTTGGCAAACCACAGATCGAACTCGGTTCACTGGCAAAAACACCATTTCACACCCTGTTTGCTGCTGCTCTAAAGGCCGTCGAGACGGGTTCTTCTCTGCACACATGACATCAGCTGAGCAAAGCTGATCGACTGGTACTGCTAAATGAGCTTTCCCACATGCAAACAAGTACAAATCCAGTTTGTTCTTCCAACTGACACCAGCCCTACACATCTAACAAGCAATAATCAAACATACAGATTTTGGTCATTTAATAAAAACATCTTTGAGATTAAGCAGCTAAGTGGCAAAATTTCAAATATTTATTTCAAACACTCACAAAACACTACATTATATATATATATATATATATATATATATATATATATATATATATATATATATATATATATATATATATATGCAATTATGCCTGTATAACTCCAGCAGATAACACTTCACCTTTTCCTAGCAAAAGTGAATCCCTAAGAGTTTCCTTTTGGGCACATGCATTCACCTTGCAGAAACGGATACATAATCTTTGGTTAGAGAGACCAAATAAAATCTCTAACCCTTAATCAACTCATTCCTTTCAGTCACCCATTCTAATGCTGAGATAGAGCCACAAAGTGTCAGGCAGCGGCAGCAGACAAATGGTGATTGTTACCAGTAACTGGGAAGACAAGAGTTAAGCCTGCACAAAGCTTAGAATCAGAGTTAAGTTTTCTCTACCGATATGACTTATATCCAACTTAAACCAGGCAGGTATTACAGTAAGGATTAGTAAAACACTAACGACTTAAGAGCCTAATTACTGCCTAACTTCTTAAAACGCTGCACTGGACATTTACCTGGGAAAGCCTTCTCTCAGCTACTGCTGAAAGTGGTGCAGTGATTTAGAGAGCTGGATGTGTTTTCTTTGGAGCTGCTGCTGTTGCCATACTTCCAGCAGCCAGCGCCAAAGCACATGCCACCGCTTGCGTAAACCAGACTATCAACAGTGTTATTTTAACTTATCTATTGACCCCAAGTGCAATAGACGGATTTTAGAGATTCTGCTGAATGAAGGTGATGAAAATACCATAGATTACCAGTTCCGCTAATTAGGGACACACTGATAGACTGTAGAACCTCCTGAAAGTACAAATACCAGAATCATTCCCAGCTTGTGGTTAATGAAAATAAAATCGTTAAGGAAAAGGCTAAAGCTACAACACAGTGACGCTACAAAGTGACTCGAAGCAAAGAAGGATCAACAAGAAGCTCTTTAGTTACTGGCTCTCCACTAAATTCTCACTCTGTAAATCCAACTGCTTGTAAAAACACTGGATGCTTATCCAAACTTTACGCAAATTGACAAGCTGGAAAAAACCTTTCATCGGAACAAACCGCATATTGTTATTACGAACTTTTCACGCGTGCTGAGCTAATCCTCTAAACCAGAACAACTTCCATTCACAAGACAGAATTACTAGAGCACTTCTCGTTACCTGAGCACTCGCTTAAATCACAGAAAAAAAAAAATTAAGAGCGAGGCAAGGAAAAAAGGTATGAATCTCACGTTTTCCCAACCAAACTCAGCCACCTCCCCTTCTGAGGAGAAATCAGGTCTGCCACATCCTTACACCTCGGGGCTGGAAAGCACAGGGATGAGGACATGGAGGTGCGAGCATTACCTGCCAGCGGCCGTAGCTGAGCAGCAGCAGCGCCAGGGGGATGGCGGTGCCCGACATGGCGTGGGTGGAGGGCATACTGTACTCGGAGTTGTAGAAGACCTCCAGCTTCACCACGGGCGGCGAGGCAGGACGCGGCCAGCGGATCACATCCTTGGTGCACTGCCCCAGGTACATCACCCATACCCAGATTATGATGAGCCTCCGGCCCAGCCAGGCGTCCACATTCCAGATGCAGAAAGGGAAAAAGAGGATGTAGAAGAGCTCGTTGCCCAGCTCCGTGCCCAGGCTGAACAGATAGTAGAGGAAGCGGCTGCGAGTGGCGAACTCCTGGCTGCCGTCCTCCTCCTCCGTCAGCGAGTTTCGGCGCGGCCTCCTCCTCCAGCGCCGCGGGCTTCCCGCCGCGCCGGGCACGGCCCCGTTCCCAGCGGGATGCTCCTGCCCGCCCGCGGGGCCGCCGTTCGCCACCGGCCCCCGCTGCTGCTCCGCGCCGGCCCAGCCCGAGGGCCCCTCCACCCCGCAGAGCCGCTGGAACGCGGCCACTTTCCGCGGGTCCTGCAGGTGGGCGGCCAGCCGGGCCAGGCGCTGGCCGAGAGACATAGCGGCGGGGGACTTCGTCTGAGGGGCGGAGAGGGGGATGAGGGCTCCGCGTTATGGGAAAGCCGCTCTCTGAAGAGAAACCCGCTGGAAGGCGAGGCACCGCGGGACCAGCCTCGCCTCGCCCGCTCCCTCCCGCCGCTCGCTCCCTCACGCCCGCCCCGCTCGTTCGCTCCCTCCCTCACGCCCGCGCCGGCCCCGCCCCGCCGCGCCTGCGCGCAGCCCCCGCCCCGCGGGAAACGTCCTCCGCGGCGCGGATTGGCCGCGGCTCTCTCTCGGTCCCGCCCCACGGGCGGCGCAGCCAATCGGAGCGCGGCGCTGCGCGAGGCGGTGCGCGGCGTGAGGCGGCCTCGAGCGTGAGGGGCAGAGGCTGCGGAGGGCGGCCCGAGGCGGTTCGCGGGGCTGTTCGGGTACCGCGGCGGAGCCTCCTTCTCCTCCTTCTCCTCCTTCTTTCTCCTCCTTCTCCTCCTTCTCCTCCTTCTCCTCCTTCTCCTCCTTCTCCTCGTTCTCCTCCTCATCTTCGCTATCGAAACACCGAATCAACTGCGGTGGAAGAGACCTCTGAGATCATCGAGCCCAGCCTGCCACCCATCACCACCTTGCCCACTAGACCGTGGCACCGATTGCCCCATCCAGTCTTTCCTTAAATACCTCCAGGGGCAGTGACTCCGCCAGTTCCCTGGACAGCCCATTCCTAATCACGCTTTCCATTAAGAAATTCTTCCTAATGCCCAACGTAAACTTCCCGTGGTGCTGCTTAAGATTGTTCGGAGGCAGAATCGTGGCGCTGGCCCCGGCGGTCAGGCCGGTTCAGCCGCGGCGGCTCAGGGAGGTTCTGCAGGGCCTGAGGCAAAGCAGTCGTGTCTTATCCCGTCTCCACAGTCTCCACATCTCCCTGTGTGTGTATGCAGGGCTGGGAGTTCAGCAGGACCAGGAGATTTGTCCGCAGGTACTTTGCAAGTCCGCAGTTCTGCGGTTTCCATCCTGGAAATGCTGTGAGAAATGCGATCTCTGGTCTCCTCTGCTTTCTGTTGCTTCTGCCTGTGCTACAGATGCTGCTCCTGTGTATTTGTGTCTTGCCTTAAAATCAGGAGGTTAAAGAAATGATAAACTGTTGTTTGGTGCCGGTTTTGTGACCCAAGCAACTGGTTAGCTTAAATCCTAACCAAAATAGAAAATCTGATGTGGAATTCAAATAATAAAAAGTTGAAACAAAGGAATATAGTGCACATCTACAGTTTTAGTTAAAATAGCTATCAATACTGTTTTGAGGAGGTACTTTGTTTGGTGCTGTGATATTCTCATTATAAAGTGCCAACAAACCATACATATAGAATTTGCTTCTATATCTTGAGAAGAAATCTGTATGACAACTTTGTTGAAAGAGATGGTGTCTAAAGAGGTCCTAGTAGCAGGTTCCATGTCCTGCTACATTTTTAGCAATGATCTGGAAGCTGATCCAAACCTGCTGCTGCAAAAATTCAGCTTCAGAATTAATGGAATTGTAAATAATGATCAGGATGGGGCACTGATCAATACAATGCAAGTTTGTACAAGCAGCTTGCTTAAACCTAGTGAATTTTCATTCATCAAACCAAATAGCTGTCTGTCTTAAAACCCAAGTGTGGAGATCATTACTGGAAAATAGAAGACTGTGAAGGTAATGACTTTGAGAAGGATTTAAGAGCCAGATAAGTAAGCAATCAGATAAGGGTTCTCCTGTATGCTGCTATGGCAGAAAAGGATTAATCAATGTATAAACAAAGGAATTAAAAAGTGTTTATTTTACCTCTCATGTTTGACGTCAATAATATCATCAGAGGGTAGTGCATACAGTGCTGGTTTTCAGATTTTAAGAAGCACATTGGAAAATAAGAGAGCAAAAAAATGAAGCAAAATGTTCTGGTGGTTGGAGAAAATGCCTTACGCTGGGATGTTTTAAGAGCTCAGGCTGTTAAAGTTATCTGGAAGAGAATTGGGAGGTGACTTGATTGTAGTGTATAGGAACATTCCTGAGGGGAAGTACAGGATATTAAAGGGCTCTTTAATCTATTGAAGAAAAGCATAATAAGAAGTAATGGCCAGAGGCAAAAGCCAGACAAATTCAAATAGGAAATCAGACACACATTTTTTCCATGGTTAACCACCAGAACACATTCCCAAAAGAAGCTGAGGATTTGCCATCATTCATGTCTTCTGTTGAAGATCAGATGTATTTCTGAAAATTAATTTTTAGCCAAGCAGAAGTTATGCTTTATTTTATTTGATGAATGCAGGTTGAAATCTGATGGCCCATGACAAGCACAGCATCAAGTTGATCTACTGGGACCACTGTGTTTCAAATTCTAAGTGCCAGAAGCAGACATTTCATTTATTACCATGAGCATTAGAATAAATTATTTTTTTGCCTTGAAATACCTATGCACCATAAAAAAGCAGATCTGAATTAAGCCTTTGGCTGCAGAATATATTTGCTAAAAAAATATCTAAAGGTTTTGGCCTTTTCCCTCCTAAATTTACACTCTTGGTATTACTTGGGAAAATTTCTTTGCATTTTAATTTAAATCTCTGAAGGAGTAGATCCTTACAAGAAAATGAATTTAGTGCATTCTGGTTCTCTTGGCCTTGAGGCAATTTTACGTATTTGATGTTCACATTGTGAAATATTTCTTGTGGGATTATTATGCAGAGTGCTCAGGTAACTGCACCAAATGAATCCTGATAGATTTCCTATATTGTGCATTATGTATATTTGTATGTGGCATATGTTTTCATCATACAGCCTTAACCTCACTTGAGGCATCATAATATGAACAATTATATTGCCAACAGAGGAGCTGCTGTTACTGAAAGAAGGATGAATGAAATAAAAATAAGATTTCAGATCAGTAGCTTGGCAGAGAAACATGAAAAAATCCACCCCCGAAATGGTGCATGATGAATTTTTCTGTCTTGAGACTGGAAGGTGTGCTGTCATTTCTCTGCCTTCTGAGAAATGCTAATCCTGCAAGATACATGTGCTTCCTAATTTACATGCTTCCCTGGCTCTTAGGCAGAAAATGCAAAGACAGGAGCTGAAAAACAAGCTGCTGCCTCGTTTGTGCATTTTCCCAGAGTCAAGCCACAAAAAATCTTAAACACAGAACAAACTAAAATCTGTTAATTAACCACAATTCTGGAATGAGATCTGAATAACTGTACAGTGAGGGAAAATCAGCGATTACAAAGCAAGACTTGTCTTTATGGTATGTGCTTGGTAACTTAAAAAAGCAGAAAGTGTTTGTGTGTGTGGCTGAAACTTCTTTACTTTGACTTCGAACTGTTAGTGTGAAATTTTTATTTTAAATTACCTCTGTGCATTTTCAGGCAAGTAATGATTGCAGTAGCCACTCCAGGAATGGGGTGAGGTGTGCCCTAACACTGAACTTGGACAGAAATTGTGTTTCTTTGTAGTATCTGCAGAAGATGGCCCTAAGGCTGTTCTGGATCCATTTCAGCTCAGCACACGAGGGCTGCCTGAGCTGACACCCATGCCATGCATTTCCAAGGCTGCACTGGCAGAGCAGTGCACTCGCAGCGTGTTCTGCAGGCTGGCAGGATTTGACAAGACAACTGTGGAGATCGATGGCAAATGAGGTGCAGAACACATCCCACTTACAGCTGCTGCTGTCACAGCCCTGCCCCAGAGGAAGGAGCAGCACCAGGAGTTCCTCTTTGAAGCAGAACATCTTGCTTGGCACCCACTTAGATGAGCACTGGGATTTAACCCACCAGTTCTGCCTTGTAAAGCTTTTAACAATTGCAGACCAGTTTATCCCAGCCAGCAGAAGCCAGTTGTTTTTATGTCCTAATAAAACTGCGGGAGCAACTGTCAGGATGTTCTCCAGGATTGGGGGATTGTTTTCTGTCATCACCAGAAATAGCTTTTATCCAGTCATCTTCTTGTGCCAAAGGCATGTAGGGCAGAATTTTGTCAGGAGAATTAAGATTATTTCCCAGCAAGTGGAAGAATGGAAAGGAGTATCCATAGAGGTCTGAAGGACTGCCTTCCCATTGAAATAATTACTGCTGGGGTTGTGTTATATTCTTTATGATGTTAAAGTGCCTAGAGTCAGAGGAAATCCTCATTTTAGATGATTTTTGAATGTCAATGTATAAAATGTGCTAACCATATCAGTTTTATTATTAATTTTTAAAGAAAATGGTGAGTTGAGTGAGTGCCCAGATTTGAGAAGGCGAGAATATATTTATTATAAGGTTTATTATAAGTCCTGAAAAATACATGAGAGAATAAGGGAAAATAGATTTTATTTCTAATTAATGCCTATTGCTCTAAGAAAAAAAAAAAAAAAAAAAAAAAAAAAAAGCCTGGGAGGGTTTTGACTTGTTCTGCAGTATGAGCTATTGCAATAGCTCACTAAAGGAGCTGGACAAGTGCTAATGTACCATTACAGCAATGGGAGAAAGAACAGACTGAAGGGTTTTCAACTCACTTAGGCTGTACTTGGTTGTTGCTGAGTCCTGCACAGTACTTTTCTTTGTAAGTAATTTAAGGTATTAAAATATTGCTTATCTATGTAAAAGTTACTGCTCATGAATCTTAGGGATGGCTTATTCAATGGAACTTTAAGGAATTTAGCTGTCTTTAGTAAAGATGTATGGAATGAGCCAATGTAGCACTTCTTTTAGATAAAGTGTAACAACTATGTCATTCTGCAAGGGCAAAAAAACCCCAAAAATCCTCAGTAGTTTGGAAAGAATAAGGTTTGGTTCTTGTGGTTTTGGGGGATTTTTGTTCTTGCTGCAATCTCCTGATTTCAATTTAGCCTGGTTATGCATTTATTTCTGCAGGATAATGCTCTAAGTTCTGTATGCAAGAGAACCTTTTCTGTTGGTGGTGGTGGTTTATAACACTTGGCCTGTATTATTTACTTTGTTAAACTGTGCACACGCAGTGCTTGGGTACGATAGGGAGAAATCACTGGGTACCTCAGGAATCTGATCCCTTGGCAGTCTGGAAAAATTGAAAGATGGAGGTCCAAATAACATTACCTTAGCAATAGGACCAAGAGCACCAAAATCAGAAAGCAAAGGCTTTGTTTGAATGGTGTTTTGCTTCAGAGGTACAAGCCTGGATTTTGCAGGGAATGGAATCAGCTGGCTTTGGTGTGTTGCTATTTTAGCCCATGGTGGCACAGCAGCACATGTCCTCATGTCACAAGATGCATTTCTCATAATACTGCTGCTTCATTTAGATGAGAGCCAAGTGTGCCCATCATTCCAGAGTCTGCCCAGCTGCTCGGGTTGTTTGTTTTTTTTTTTTCTTTTTTCTCTGCATGTCTATATGGGCACATAATCTGGGAAAGGCACAGAATTTTAGTGAAAGTGTGGTTGATGAAGATGCCAGGTGGGCAATGCTGTGATTTGTTACAGCAAACAAGAATAGAAAAGTTGCAAATAAGTAATTAAAGGGACTGCAGTGATGGAGTTTCCTCTCTAAAGGTGTTCTAGGAATGCAGTTGTTATAGTCCTTTCATTCTCCTGTGAACTTAATCCATGGATGTAACCCAGTCACATGCCATCTCAAACACAGTTCAGATAAGGTGTCATTATTTAAGGAGTGTTTCTGTTGTGTTAAAAATGAGATTATTCCATTTCCAACATTATCTTAAAATACATTTATCCCAGTGTCTTACAGTTCTTAATTGGCAACACATCAGAACAACTCTGTGAGGGAGTGGAACATGTGATTACCACCCCCTTAATTTTACTACTGGGAAAAAGAAACTGATTTGGTAACAGTTTCATTATACTTCCATTTCTTCAATTTTCCCATGTTCCTGTAATTTTAAATTTGTAATTCAGTGATGTGCTGACTGTGTGGTGAGAAAATGGAGATTGTTTTTTTTTCTCCTGTGGTTTCTCAAAGAGACAAACAAATCCTAAAGCAATAATAAACCCTTAGTCTTTTTGCCTCCTCATCCCAGGATTTGGAATTGAAAATAATTAAATTTGGGGAGGCAGGGGAGACATTGGTTGCTTTGTAGGTGGGCAGAGTACATTTGCTCTTTTTCAGAAACACACACAAAAAGAAATTTAGAAAAAGAGGCGGAGGTTTAGGTTCCTTCTTTTTCTAAAGTTTGAACTAATAATACTTAGTTGTGGGTGTGAAACTCTCATTTCTGAAGGTTGTTTCTTCACTCTGGCTACCAGGGATTAAGTTGTAGAATTGCTTGTTTTCACTCAGAATAACTGACTGTGCTTCCATTCCCAAGCTTTCCTTTATTATCCATAACTTTTTTTCTATGAATGGGGCAAGATGCTAACTTGTGCCTGCACATGTTTGGGTGCCATCACTGTGTTATTTTATAGCTGTTTTATTACTAGCAAGACAGCAGAGGAGGGGTAGAATTAAAAAACCCCAAACAACCAAAACTTGTGCACAGCCCTTCATCAACCTGGAGCCCAGAATTAGAGGGTTCCCTCTTCCACACATCATCTGGACTCTGGGTTATGCCATACTTTCATCCTTTTTATCCCTGGAATTTCTGCAGATCCCTCAGATACTTGTCCTTTAAGAGAGGAGTAAGTTCTTTCATGCTGACTCGCATCAATTGCAATTCCTGCACATTGGGCTGAATTTTGTGTGCAGGAGTGGCAGTTACATCCGTGTCTGAAAGCCAACTGTGCTGCAGGGGCAAACAGCTGCTGGGAGCTCCTGGGAGCAGGAAGATTCTTGTTGGAGCACGCTGAGAGCAGCAGGGATCCCTCTCCTGGCTCCCCAGGAGCAGAACCCGCTCACTGATGGGACAGCTCAAAGGCCTTATCCCCAGGCCAAGGATGAAAAGAACCCTCTTGTTAGGGCATCACAGAGTTGGGAGGGCACCTAGGATGGTGATCACATCCTAGGAATTATATCTTTGTTGAAAAAAGGAAAAAAAACCCTTCCTTTTCAAGAAACTAGAGCCATTCTGATTCCTTGAACTCATCAAAGACATGCACACCACACCACAAGAATGGGAAGGAATTCATGGGAATCAGCCTGAAGAGCAGGAGCAGAAAGTTCACCACGTGTCATCCCATGACATGAAAAGGAGGAGCATGTTCAAATCTTCTCATCAGGCTCAAAAGTTCATGTGTAGGTAACTAGGCAAGGCTTAGATGTGCCAAATAAATCCCTTGGGAAGAGGGATTTGATATGCTGAGAGAATCAGGATGCAAAGTATAAGATGTACAGCTCAGGGGAATTTGCCTTTGCGTTCACAGATGTGTGTTTTAGTCAGTTCTGGACTCTGTTTCTTGGAAGATCATAAATTGCCAAGATTATGCAATGGAGCAGATTCATGTTCAAGGGTGTGTCAAGTTACTCATCCCTTGAGTAGGAGGAGTGAAAGCTTCCCTACGGTCCTTTCTGACAACATTGATTCATTTTCTATTCAGAGGAGGAAAAGAAGCCACAATTTGGGAAATGTGTTTGTCATTCACTGGAAAAGGCAGATACCTTGACAGACAGACCAGGAGATCTCCAGGCAGATGAGAGAGTTCTTTGGATTTGGCTGATAACAAACCAAGTGTGGGGATGGGTCTGAAATTCCATTCCACACCTCAGGCAGGACTAAAAGGGAGATATCTTGAATTCAATTCAATACAAGATCCACTGCTGATAGTCAGTTGTGATTACTTTTATAAATAATTAGGTAGATGCCACTTTTTACAGGATAGGACAACCAATTTTGATATAAATGCCAAGTGGTCAGAGCTCTTGCCAGGGAAGGACATTTCTAAGCCCTTTTAACAATGTAATAGCCAATATTAATTCACTCTCATTGTTTGTTGCAGGTGAATTGAGAATATCCAACAAAATCACCAAGCACTATTTTCTTTCAATCTGCTGGAAATGCCAGCAATCCACCTCCATCAATCTTCCATCTTCAGAGTGTTATGTACTCCCAGTCCTGGGGAGGTTCTCAGGAAAAGGCCAGGTGTGCTCAGCACACATGGTGATACTCAGAACAGCTTGCCTGCCTTACTGCTGCACCCTTTTTCAGGTAATGCAACCTGTGCATCCCAGGGCAATTCAGAACCTGTATGACGAGTATTTGGGATGGAGCTGGTGGTTCTGCCAGCTCTCGTTCTCAGGGTAACATTTGCTGCTCATTTAATTACACAGAAAGTGCTCAGAATTATGTGTGTGTCTGTGATATTTTACAGAATCACAGAATATCCTGACTTGGAAGGAACCCACAAGGATCATCAAAGTCCAGTTCTTGGCCCTGCTCAGGACACCCCACACAAGGTACCCTAGAGCATTGTCCAAACACTTCTTGAACTCCAGCAGGTTTGGTACTGTGGCCATTTCCCTGGGAACCCTGAGCCATTTCCTGAAATGTAAATTAATCCTTAAAATATCACAATGAAGTAAATAATTAGATGTTTGGGGTGGTGAGTTAAAATACATAGGGTTATGTGACTTGCCCTCAAACATCCAAGTCATTAAATAAATGCACTGTCATGATGGATAGGTTCTACAATATCTGCATTGGGCACCAGAGATGGGACTCAGGTAGATTCACCTGACCAAGTTCAAGAACACTACCTGTCTTTTAGATACCTATCAGGGAAACTATTTTCTGCTGTGGCAGCTTTTGAACCTAGAGGTATGTAAAATTCCTACCACCAGCTGTCCTGGCAGTCCCTGGGGTGACTAAACTGGGCTGCCATGCCTGCACAGTGCACAGTAACCAGCAGAACCAGGACCTCAGCCTGATTCAGGGACACAGCAAAGGCATGACTGATCCACCTGGATCCCTGGAGAAGCCCACTCTGCTTCAAAGCCTTGTAGCACTGAGCCAGTGCCATTCACAGAAAAACCACAGGCTTCTGTGAAAAGGGGAAGGGAAGGGAAGCAGCAGAGCTTCCTTCTATTTATCTTAATAAATCAGTCAACTGGAGAGTGGGAAATCTCAATTCAGTTTCATCTTGGCCTGATGGGGTGCAACCCACTCATGACTCAGAAGGCTGCTGTAGCCACTAGGTTATGGCATAATCCGGGGCATTGTGTCTTCATCCCTCCTCCTGATTTTAAGACCTCTGTCAGAGGAATGGAAAGAGATCTAGCATTGCAAGTAGTGCTGTGATTGGGATGTTGGAGATCCACATTTGGTGGAGCTTCACTGCTTTGGCTGAGGAGAGAGCAGAGGCTCTTGATTAGGTGTTACCTCCCACAGGTCCTGGGAGCTGCAATTGGAGGCCCCCAAAGTTCTGCCCTTGGAGTTCAGTGAAATTCGTCATGCAAACAAGTCATGCAGCTGTAGGTTTGGAGTCAGGATATGTAAATGGTAGAATTTGGCCAAGAGCACAAGACTGCTGATTCACAGAGCTGTGGAGCAACCATGCTTGAAGCATAACTTGAAGATGCAGCAGCTCTGTTTGTTTGCCTGTATGTCTTCTGATACCTCCCTCGTGATCTGCTCTGGCCCCTGGAAAGAAACCAATAAAAGATGATGTATAGTAGGAGACGCATTTTTTAAAGAAGTTGCTCATTTTAGAGGCAGTAGGAGATTGTGTAACTTTTTGATCACTGCAATTTAGGGGGGAAAAAAAGTTTATAACATGACTGGAGGAACTTGCAGTGGAGGTTCATCAGTTAAGGACCTAAGCATTCTCAGGACTGTGTAGTTTTGCACCTCTGTTGTGCTAGAAATGACACTGCTGATGAAGGGGCTCTTCAAACCAGCTTAGCTAGACAACAAAGGAGGATAAAACACTATTCATGAAGGGGCTGGAGTTGTCACACTCACTTTGTCTTAAAATTTGCAGGTTCTCTGGCTAATCAGATGGTTTTATCCTATAACTTCTAGTCTGGAAGTGCTCAGTTTTTGGAATCTGATTTTGCCTTATGACTGCAATGCTGTCCCCCTCTGTATGATGTATATGCATGTCCATACACCTTTTTTATTATGCCTTATTCTCATTAGCTCTGTCTGCCCTCTCCCCTGCATTGGTTTGGTTGATACTTCACCCACATGTACAGTCAGGAGAACTCTTCAAAGTCCCTTTGGCTTTTTGTACATAGGGTGTCTGGCAGAGCTTCTGCAGCCACAAGCTCTACAACCACTTCTGTCCTACTCTTTAATCCTACCAGCACCAGTGGAGTGCTCACACTTCTGGTCATATGGTAGCACCAGGGTCATGTTACTATATTTCTCTTTTTTTTCACCCTTTAAGTGCCAGCTGCAGAAAAGCACATACAGAGTCCTCCTGACAATGCCAATAACAAGCCTGTAAGTGGATTTGTTATGGAAAAAAATAAACACCAGACAGAATCACTCTCTTAGCAGAGTAATTTCTTTCTTAGATATGGCTTGTAAGTCCTACATAGGACAGGACTTCCTCATTTTTCCTTAAGAACTTGGACTTCATTAAGAAACTGGAGACACAGGGTGACACAGCTACTGGAGAACATGTCCTTGGATGAGTAGACAATAATTATCCAATATAATTTACAAAACCAAATCATAAACAAAGCATAAGTAAAGTTAAAGCTTCCTAGATACAATCGCAGGCTTCTGCATATTATCCAGTGTGTAAATAGAGCTTACCCTTCTGTCCCAGAGAAATTTTCAGCCTCTGAGTCTGCAAGATTTGACATTCATGCCAGTAGCAACATATCCAAAGTATAATGTGGAGAACAGGGCAAACATAGTGTAGCAATGACTAACAAATATATTTCAGATGTAAAAAGAACACCTTCTTTGCCTAACAAAATCACCACCCTCCAACAAAGCCCTCACTAAAATGGGACCAGGACTTCCATGTCCAGAAGGAAATCACACCTAAATGATGCAAGAGATTGGTCATCATCATCATGCTGCTATTGCATACCATGTCCAGTGAAATCCTGGCAAACAGGACTTCACTCAAGTGTCAGAGACCCAATTGTTTAACTCTAAGGCAGCTGCCTGCAAGAGTTTTAATGATGATATGGTAGGATCTTTTTCTGTAATTTAACAAGCTGGTTTAATTTTTGAAAGAAGTGTTTGGAAAAGCCACAAGTGAGACTCTCAGTGTCTGTTGGGGCACAGTTTTGCAGCACCCCAGCAAGGTGAGCAGAGCAGCCCTGGTGACACCAGCTGGAGCCCAACAATGGCTGTGCAAAGCCACAGCAGCGAGGAAGGGCAATTCTCAAGCCAGGAAGGCAAGTCAAGGAGGTCAGGGGAGGATCAGGCACAAGGCCAGGCAAATTCCAGCCTGGAGGAGACTTCTCACAGCTCTTTTTCCTTCAGTCTTGTTCCAGGTTACAGCACTGGCCCCAAACACAAGGACCAAACCCCTTGCAGCAGGGTTGAAGTGTGTGTTGGTGCTCAAACACCCCAGACACTGTAAAAACTAAAATGCAGTTTTATTTGTTAGGGCATGCAAAATACTTGCAAGAAAACCTCAAACCAGCATAAATTACAAATCTGAAACTCAGATCAGGTTCTGTATAAGCCTGTCTAAGTTTTATGATCTCTCACTGAACATGAGCCGTGCCTTCAGCAAGCCTGGATTGAGTTATATATTTTGGCTTAAATGGTTTAAAACCTGAAGTTTAAAAGGTTTATGTAAATAGGCATTTACAGCCTTCTGGTTTCAGCAGCTTTTTGACCACATACAGTTACTAATAGAACTGCTCTTTTCACACAGAGGTGGAGGAGGTCAGCATGCAAGAACCTGGGTGGCACTTAAACAAAGACCTTAGAAAATACCACCTTTTACTGTAAGAAGTATTTCTTACAAGGCAGTCTGTGTAGGTTTGCAGCATGAAGCGATCTCCAAATTAAAGGCAGTCACACTATTCTCCCAAGTCTGTCATTACAAAATAATACCTCTTTGTAATACCCCACCATGAAATATTTAATTTCCAGTAAAGATACTGACCAGTGCTGTGATTCTGCAAGGGATTATCTTTATGCATCATGCTCACACATTCCTTTGAAGTCACAGGGAAGGCACTCAGTGCTGGAAGTTGAACATATTTGAATCTTGACAAGGTCATAAAATGTTTGGAATTAATTTTGAGAAGCCTGTGGTCCTACTGCTAATAGAATTAAGATGCAGCTTCCTTTCTTAGTGTTGAAGTACTCCCTGTAAAGATAATAAGTATATTTAAATATAAAGAAATTATTTAGGTGAACATTGATAGTTTTTTAATAGGCCCCCAAGGCTCTCTTAACTCCAAATAAAATTGAGAGTAGCCAGAAGTCTTTAATCCCTCTGCAAGCAATCATATTGTTAGGAATAATAAACCTTATCAAGTCCTTTTTCTCCCTATGCTTCTGTACTAGTAACAGTGAAATAAGGACACTGATTTCCTTTGTAAATCAACTGGTGAAAAGTACCAAAAAAGGTGTTATCAGTGCAATGAAAACCTGCTTTGGTGAATAATTTCCATGAACCATTTCAGATGCAGGATCTTTGGCACTCATGTAGAAAAATACTATTACATTGAATCCACTGATGTTCCCTTACCACGAGCAATTAAAATATAAGGTATAAACTACCCATACAGTCCTTGAAAAAATAAAACTGATACTTTGAAGAAGCTGTTTTCACATTCTTTCCTGTGTGGTCTAACTACAGTCAAAATAATTGAGAATATTGGATTATAACAGTATTTCTTTGTTGTGCTAGAAAATGGATGCCAAAGTATAGCAAAACAATAAAAGCATCACAGCACAGCACACATGTGTCCCATGATTAGCACAGAACTAACAAAGATTTAAAAACAAAGATGATGATCCTGACAATGACAAGAGAAAAGCTTTGAAGAGGAAGACCTGACAGAAATACCAGCCCTGTGGAAAGCATATCACATCCTCCCATAACCTATGGGTTTGCAGTGGGTATTTCCAAGGAGTGGGCAGGAGGTGGCCCTGGGTGCTGGGCACAACTGGGAGAGGTGTCCAGCTGCCTCCCAGTGCAGCCCTGGGCTGTCACTTTGATGTCCCCTCCTGGGTGCTGCCTCCTCTGCCAGTGCTTGTGCTCACTGAGAGCCACCTGCTGAAATCCCTTTGTGCACCCAGACCTGCAGCACTTCAGGAAACAGCTCTGGCTGTTTCAGAGACCTCACCTCTCACTGCTCCTGCACCACAGCTGTCTGCTCAGCTTGTGGGCACAGGGAGATAAGAAGAGGTGACAGACGTTCATGGAGGGGAGTGTTTGAAAACAATGCAGAGCTGGGATCAGAGCTTGCTTCCACAAGGACTCTTCAGCCACATGAATAATCTCCATGAGGTGAAGAGAAGGAAAGAGAGT